CCCCCTCCCTCCCCCCCTCCATCCCTGCTCACCCACCGTGAATGCAGCGAGGATGTTAGCTGGCCCGCAGTCAGTGCCGGTCATGACCTGCTTTTGCCCCTCTGCAAGAAAGTACCGCACCTCGTCGGCTTCACCCCCCCGCCGATGTGAGACCAGCCGTCCACACACCATGGCGTGCAGCCACTCCCGCGTCATGCGCTCGTTGAGGCCGAGGGAAGCCGCCAACTCGGCCGATGTGGCGCCGGCACATTCGAAATCACCCAGCTTTGTGAAGAGGCCTGAGTGCATGCACCACAGGCCACACAGAGAGAGGGCATACAGGGCTGTGTCGTGCGTGTTCGTGTCCGTGTACCTAGCTCGATGCCGAGATGAATGTGCAGAGAAAGGAGGCCATCTCTGGCACAATCGGCACACCGCACCGCATTGCAGCAATGCATGCGCCAGCTGCTTCTGTGATTGATTGCTCACGTGAGGATGTCTTTGAGCTTCAGCGTGTAGTCCTCGGCCAGCTGCGCCGCCACTGGCACCTGCTCCCTCGGTGCTGGCGGTATGCGCTGCAATGAATTCATCTGGCTCAAAGATGCGGGCAGGGACGAGCTGGTCAAATAGACAGGGGGTAAGGTGGGAAGGGAGAGATATCAAGGAGAGCGCAGATCTACCAAAGCCAGGAAGGGCGATGTTTGCCTCTCTCCCTGCATCCTCTCCAGACGAAGTTTAGTGGAGGCTGGGCTCTAGCGCAAACCATTCTCAGCGCGCGAGGGAGCTTGACGCACGAGTCTCGTTAAACACAATAACCAACCAACCAACCGACGCGTGGCTTATGTCGGCGGCCTTCACTGCGTCGTTTGTTACGTGACGACGCCTGACGAGTGATGAATGAGGCGATGCTTACTGCATCCACCGCCTGCCACAATACGACGCCGCTGACATGATGCAGAACCGGGTGGGTGAACCCGGTGAAGAGCACAGTGCACTGGCCTGCCTGCCTACACATCCTTCTGGTGCTGTTTCATTCAGTTCAGGTTGCCGGGCTTCGCTCCTCAGCGGGCATGACGACGCCTGGTGGCAGCGGCTCAGCGGCGGCCTCGGCTGCCGGCAGCGCCTTGCCGCATGGCTGGAAACGTGTGGACGAGATAGAAGGCTGGCTTCATGATAATGCTACTGACGTGACCAGAAGGCTGCGGGACGGCATCATGCGCCGCACCATCACCCATCCAGAGCAAGTCACCCAGCTGATACGAGAGCACCGAGCCGACCCGAACGCTCAACCGTCGCTGCGCGTCCTTTCATGCCTGCATTGGGCTGGGAAAACGCTGGTCGTTGGTGGATTTCGGCAGGAGCCTGACTATGGCATCGCCTATCCGCTGCTCGCTCTATCGATCGACGACATGACAGACAAGACCTTACCGTCCGTCGAGGCGCTAGCGGGCGAAACGACATCCCGTCGCCGTTCCTCGGTGGGCCTCGCCTCAGCTGCAGGACGCCGTCATGAATGCCCTCATTGATGGCGGGGCCGACATCAACGCGGCGGGTCTCTTCACCTCCCGCTATAGCTGCGCCGAGGACGGCATTACCTTCCCTGACGAGCGCCGGCCGATCCGGGTGGCCATCATGGCGGGCAATGAGGCCGCAGTGCGCATCCTGATGCAGCGTCACGTGAACCTGCGCGGGTCGATGGTGATGGAGCTGCTGAGAGTGCCGAGGGCGGTCGATGAGGATCGGCCGCCTTCCCCTGACGTGGAGCGACAGCTGCTGTTGTTCTACGAGCGCCTCGTTGAGCAGGATACCACACTCGCGACCGAGCAGGACCAGTTCGGCAGGAACCTGGTCCATTCGGCAGCCTGGACGCTTCCCATCTTCTCCCAGTCCTTCATCGACTGCTACATGGGGCTGCTGGCGGCGAATGGGGCGGACATGACGCAAATCGACCCGCGCTTCCCACCGGGCCGCACGCCTCTGCAGATGGCGACGTCTCTTGGGTCCTACCGCGTGGCTGCTTTCCTGTGTCGCCAACTGCCTGCTAACGAGATCGACAGAGGGCTGTGGCAGCAAACGCCCCTGGATGCTGCGGCCGAAGACCTCTACCATCGGACTCGACCTGCGGGGGGCCGTCCGGTGAGCGAGGTGGCGGTCCGGCGCACGAAGATGACCATCTGCGTCTTGCTGAGAGCGGGAGCAGCCATCAATCGCCTGCCAACAGGCAGCCACATCCCCGCAGTCGCAGAGGAACTCCGCGAACGGCGGCAGCTGGTGCTGGACGAGTACACAAGAGTGCTCAATGAGCTGCCCATTGCCACCATGGCTGCGGTGAACGCTGCTCTGCGTCCCCATCGCATACTGGCTGCCCTGCTGACACACTTCCTGCCCCTTGTCGACCACAATGACGCCGAGACGCCCCTCCCCTCCCCCCTCTCATTCGGCCACGGTGAGGCCACGCTCATCGGCTGGCAGATCGCAGCCTACTGCTTCGACACCACTGCTGCCAACCAGACTGTCAATCAGACACTCACCTTCCGACACAGTCGCCTGGCCAGGCGTGTGTGCGCGGCCATCGACCACTTCGTCACGTCGGCGCTCAAGGCCAGCAGCAATCGGGAGGTGGTGGGGCCGATGGCGATTGTGGGGGAGGAGACAGTGCGCGTGCCGCTGCAGTGCTTTGTGCTCGGCGGGGTCGACCGCCGTCTGAATGAGGTGGTGCGCACGCGTGGCCGTGTCGGCATTCGGGAGGTGGTCCACCGAGCACGGCTGGACGAGGCGGCCAGATACCGGCTGACTGGCGTCATCAAGGGCTTCAACACCCACCTCGGCAACGACGACTGTCAATTTTCGTGGGGTCAGGTGGGACGCATCGATGATGAGGGGCAGTTCGTGACACTGGGGACCAACTGAGAGGGGAAGGCGCATGTGGACAATGTTGATGACTAGTGAGTGAATCGGGCTGAAAACCGTTTCGTGGCTCAGAAACGACCCCCGTGACTGCATCCCCGTGTGTGTGCTGATCCACTTTTGCGTTCTTCAGTGGCCAGCATAACTCGACAGGCTGACTTGAAGCGGTTCTCACACACACTTGTGTAAGAAACAGTGATGCCATGGTCTGTGTCATTCATTCCTGCACCCACGCCATACACGTACACGCGAACCACATCCATCCATCCACAGACAGACAGACGACAGACAGACAGACAACAGACAGACAGACAACAGACAGACAGACAACAGACAGAGGACATGAAGGAAAGAGGCGTGTGCATCCATGCGTGTCGGTCATGCTGGTGGACGAACTGCAGTCGGCCGCGCCTGCAAAGCGAAACGTCGCCCTTGGTCCGATGATGGAGGTGCCCCTCTCTTCTCGACAAATTCACCGGGGCTGACTCTACTGGCTTGCTGGGTCCTGTGGGCAAACAGACGTGACGGTCAGTGCAAAGAGCACTGACGCAGCATGGCGGAAGTCGTTTCGTCTACATATTGGATTCAGGGTTCACTGGTATATTGGTGGAGATGTCGAAGAGGCCTGTGTTTGTCAGCAAAGTCGCAGCCATGAGCGGCAAGGAGGCCAAGAAGAGCGACAAGGTCGGCCAGCCGCACACCCTGCAGATCCCTCCGCCGCAGGACACGTGTGCGCTTTGGTGTGTCTTCCTGCAGGCGGCGGTCAAGGCCAAGCAGGGGAAGGCCCACGACGAGCTGTCGGAGGTAAGTCTGCTGGGCATACAGATAGATCTGACACAGACAGATCTGCAGGGAGGAGGGAGGATGGATGGATGGGAGGGAGCACTCACACACGACACACCGCACAAACACATGACGCCCTTTTCTGTCTGTCTGTGCCACATGTGTGTCTGCCCAGGACGACGGATACGAACTCAAATTCTGCACCGACTCCGACGCCGAGTCCCTGGACGACGAAGCGTACGAGGAATACAAGAAGGGCGGGAGGAAGGGACTCGAGGCACTCAAGGCCGCCCGAGAGCACGCCGCCGCCAAGAGGGCCCGAGAGGAGGAGGACGAGCGCGTCAGGGCGTGGTACAAGGCCGAGCAGGAGGCCAAGCGACGACGGATGCTGGACAGGTTCATCGGCGGGCAGCGCCGGCGGGCTGCCCCCCCTCCTCTCCGAGGCGGCCCGCGAAGCCGAAGCCGAGGCCAAGAAGAAGCTCCGCCCACACAGCCAGCAGTAGACAGACGCGGGGCCGGGCCAGGGAGGGGCGGGGAGGGAGTACGACCTAGGCAGGAGGGATGAATATGATGTATTCAGGGCATGTGTTTTTCATCGTTGTACAGTGCACACACACACATACGCCATACTACGTGTAGAGGCCCTTTTCTGCCAACCACACTGCCACTGCGATGCTGCAATGCCGACTGACTACACCTCTCTCGGGTCACAAGAGATGCACAGAGATGCTAGTGACCGAGACCACCGACGACCAACACAACCTTTTGGTGCCACTGGGCGCCACCCTGTGATGCGCACTGAGTGACAGACGGCGGCTCGGCTGCAAACCTAGCTAGCTAGCTAGCTGCAGAAAGGACACTGATGGATGGTTTGGGTGCGTTTGTTGTTGGGGCGGCCGTCCGTGGCGTGGTGTGGGTGTGGGCTGATATAATCCATCAGGCAGTCATGCATTCACTCACTGACCAACATGCACGGTCCACACACACGCATGCACAGGTTGTCCGTCGTGCCACACACAGATGGACGGGACGCCACAGGAAGTCAGGCAGACATATAGACAGCTAAGGCCTTTCCTTCCGTCCATGCGGATGCACGGGACACACAATCTGATATCCACACGCCAGCCAGCTGTCTAGCTCTCAGCGACCCAATCCGCCGCTCAAACGGCCCCAACGCTCCTCCATGCCTGGCGACAGACAGACAGACAGACAGACAGACGGGCACACACAACAGCACAGTCCGTCGAGGAAGGCCGGCCACCCTGGCTGCGCGTCTGCCTAACTGCTTACTTGGTTGTCTATTTGTATGTGTTGTCCTTCTCGCCTCATCCCTCCTCCGCTACCGCCATTGCCGCATCCTCTGCGTATCCATCCACACGACCACACAGACACACAGACAGAGGGAGGGAGGAGTGTGCCGATTGTGTGAAGTGCAGACAGATATACATACACGTGTGGGTGGGTGGGATGAATGGTGAATGGTCACACCGCTCACGAACGAACTAACGAACGAACGAACGAACCAGTGTTTGCGATGGCCGAGGTATCGTCGTCTTCGGTGTCCGTGTCATGACTCGCGCTGCTGTGGTCATGTGTGGACACATTTCCCCCCCCGCCCTCCGCCGCCCCGCCACCGGGCGAGCTGCTCGTGTCATCGTCATCATCCAGCCCTATTATGAGACCTAGCCAACGGGAGAGCACTGCACACACACACACACACAAACAGACGGACAGACAGACAGACAGACTCATGAGTCCATGTGTGCAACACATTTCGCGCCCTTCTGTCTGTCTGTCTGTCTGTCTCTCTGTCTGTGTGTCTGTCTGTCTGTGCCCTCGCTCGTGGGGATCCGTGCGTACGGACATGAGAATGTTTGGGGTTGCGTCTGCGCGAGAAGAAGCTTGTCGTCCGCGACACACGCCGGTGGCTCTGTTGTGACCATCACCACCTCAACTGCACACTCTCACACACACAAACAGACAGACAGACAGACAGACAGGCCAAGAGCCAGACAGAGCCAGACATAAGAGCATAGACACACCCGCCCATCAACCCGCCCACCCACTGACGGACCTTCTTGATCGTCGAGAGATTTCTCCCTGACGCCGAAGACCGCGGCGAAGGGGTGGTCCAGCGGCGTCAGCACCGCATACCGATGGTACACATTGGCGGGGTACTCCAGCGCCATGACGGCCGAGGCGCCTCTGACAAACGGACGGTGCACTGACCGGTCGAGCCGGGCCATCACGCCAGCATCTATCATATCGCTGCAGTCAGCCACCCAGACAATCAGGACAAAGCACCCATGACCAAGGCAGGCATCATTTGCAGCTCCATCCTTTACCCACACCCGCCCACTGACGGTTCTGATTCGCGTGACCCGGAGACGCCCTCGATTCGCATCGTGATGGTGTGCATGAGGAAGGACGAGAATGACGCCTCGATGACGTCCTCGTCCATCACGTGGTCTTGAGCCTCGAGGGAGACGTTGATGCGGTGGGCCACGATGGGGTTGTGCGGGTCGGTGTGCTGCTGGAACCGGTGGTCGACGGGGAGGGGCGGGGCCA